GTGATTTATAGATACATTATAGACAGAAAATATATAAATAGATAAAGATATAAATGATTTATTGATAGACGATAAATACATAGATGACGTATAGATAGGTAGGTGATGGATGGATAGGTGACTGACTGATTGGCAGATTATAAATATGCAATTTTTAGATAAATGACGCACAGAGAAACAGATGCAGTGATTGGTAAATACATTGATGATAGATAAATGACTTGTTGATGATTTATAGATTGATAGATGAGTCATTGATAGTTTACAAATATGTGATAGATTATAGATGACACATTGACAGATAAATATAGAAATGATTTAGTGATAGATGATATCGATAGATGATTTACAGCCAGATATGTGATACACAGATAGGTGATTGATCGATCGATTGGTTATGAATACTTGATTTTAGATACATGATAAATAAATAGATTAATCGATACAGTAATAGGTTAATAGATACATGTGTGGTAGATACAGAAATGATTTATTGATAGATGATTTACAGATAGACACGTGGATGATAGATGACTGATTGATTGATAGATTATAAATAGGTGATATGGCTAGATTATAGAGAGATGATACAGAAATAGATAAACATATAAATGATTTATCGGTGTGTGATCCATAGATGAATTCTTGGTAGATCAGTGATAGATAGGTGATTGATTGTTTGGTAGATTAGAAATATACTCAGGACAAACAGATACAGAAAGGATTTATTGGTAGATCATAGATGATTTATAGATAACCGATAGATGCTTATAGATAGATGATTTATTGATAGATGATTGATAGATTATAAATATGTGACTTATAGATTATCGATAGATTAAACAAATAGATAAAGGATTTATGACAGACGATTGATCGATCGATAGATTTGTCAATGGGTAGATGATACGTAAATGATTGATTATAAATACGGAGATTATAGATTATCGGTAGGTGATGGATGGGAAGTTGATGGCTGGGTGTAGATAAGTGGATGATCGATAGATAGAGGGATTATTGATGACGGATACATTGACACATCCGTGATCGATAAGTACGTGACAGATGGATGATTGACTTGTAGATCGATGATGCAGGTAACGCCCTGAGCAGTGTCGGCAGCTCAGACCTGCTGGAAACCAAGCGGGTGCGGAGACGACGCGCTCGCTTTCCTTTTTCCTGCCTGACTAGGTTTCCGGCATCCTCCTTGAGCAAGCTGCACCTCTGTGCAAATTACTCTGTGCTCGATTAAACGCCCTTCAGTTTAACTTGCCTAATGAGAGAGCCACCGGGGGCCTGTACTAAGCACAGGAAATAAGCACTCAGTACCTCTCACCGTGTGTTTTTGTGGACCTTTTGTTACGCAGCACCGCTGACTGCCACGCACGTGGACACGTGGGGTCAGATCGGCACACCGCGCCCCACACCTACCTTCCGGGTTGCCATTCGTCGACGGTCCATCTCCACCTGGGGTACAGGACAAGACATGCCTTGAGAGCCCGTCACGCCGCACACCCACACCACGCCCACGTGCACGGTCACGCGTGCAGTCACACACACATGCTTGGACAGCTCGAACCCCCAGGAAGTGGAGAGACAGAGACAGGAAGTGGAGAGACGAGGGAGGAGGGGGGAGGATGGAGCACCGGTTTTCCCGAGACACCACGCACCCGGTCGCCGCCACCCCTGCCCCTCACCGTGGGAGGCCCCGTGGCTGCTGTAGCCATGGCCGCCGGTGTCGCCTCCTCCGCTTCCTCCTCCTGAGGACACAGGAGTGACGTGTTCGGGGTCGGCCGCACCCACTCTCATTGCTTTCGCTCGCACACACGCGGGCTTTGGGTGAAGGCAACCTAGCTCTCAAGCACTCAGGGAGATTCGAACCCAGGATGGTCCAACCTCGCATGTCTGCCTGTGTGCGCACACGTGCGCAACGCCGTGCGCACTACCCGCTTCTCCCACAACACAGCAGCCGACCCCAGGAACTAAACTTCCAGGACTGTGTATTTGAAGACCCAGCACCAAGCACTGATCACACACCCACCTGAAGGGGGCCGGGGCCGGGACGGGTACTGATCGTGGTCCGAGTCGTAAGCATGACCTGCAGAAAGGAGACAGCACCCAGCCAGGCTCGGTCCGTCCCACAGCATCGTGGGGAACACGCCCATAACACAGACGTGCAACCATCCAATGATCAAGACTGCCGGACTTGCATAAATTTGCGTAAATTTGCATAAATTAACGAGACTTTGGGTCCGGCTCG